TCACAGATCCTATTTAAATTAAAACAATTATCAAGGATTGTTTCAGTATATGAATAAAAGTTAGGAAAGTTAAACCACTCTTCCAATATCTTACCTGGACACAAGAGTATGAACCAAAGTCACATATCTCAATACATTGATACAATGACCTCCTTAAACTAATCGATTTTCAAGAACTCAAAGAAACCATCACATCTAGATCAAACACATCTGCACCAGAACCAACAGGAATCCCATATATAGCTTTCAAAAAAATGTTCCAATTCACATTACAGTTCTTACTAGACCTCTTCAACAATATAATGATATCATCCCATATTCCAACAGAATTGAAACAAGGATTCATATATCCCATTCCAAAACCCAAAGACTGGAAAAACAATCTAAACATAACTAGACCAATTACACTTCTAGAGGCGTCAAGGAAAATTTTTACAAAAATCTTAAACAATCGTCTGGCAAACACACTCTTAAAACATCAGATTCTATCACAACACAATTGGGCAGCTCTTCCAGAATCAAGCACTCAAGAACCCATCCATATCTTACAAGCAATTATGGAAGATGCAAAGCAATCCAATCAACAATTATATATCTTAAGTCTGAATATGAGCAAAGCATATGACTCAGTACATGTTCCCAGACTTATCTCAGCAATGAAAAGACTCAAATTCTTAGCAACTTTACACAAATAATTTCAATATTTTTAACAATAGAAACAATATAGTTATCACACCTTTTGGTTCCACAGATTTGTATCAAGTTCATGATGGAATAGATTAAGGAGATACAATTTTACCACTACTATAGCGAATTTTTTATGACCCTTTAATTACACAATTAGCCAATAGCAATCTAGGATACACAGTCCAAACATCTATACAAACAGACATCAGAGAAACCCCTAGTTGATAACACAATCCATATCATGTATAGCATATATGGATAATATTATACTTATTAGCAATAACAAAACAAATTTCCAAAACCTTAGCAATATCTGCAACAAGTTTTTTATACTCAATTATATTTATATTAATATCGACAAATTATACCTTATCTCAGTTAACAACAAATAATAACAATAGTTTTCCATACAACTACAAAACCAAACCATTCATCCCTTGCCAAAAAATCAAGCAATCAGAGTTTTGGGTGTCTGGCATAATGGCAAAGGAAACAAAAAACATCAAGAAAATCTGATTTACACAATAATAGATCAAACCAGTTATATTCTCAAAAAGAAGATTATTATTGATAAACAACTTCGTTATATTATCAATTACGTCTATATTCCCAAAATAATATACCTTCTCAATAACATGACACTTTTTATTAATATATGCAACAAAATCAATAATAAGATTAACAAAGTCATCAAATACAATAGGCTTGACAAACACAATATCAAATAATATAATCTTTAATCCACTGGAATATGGCTTCTTCAATATCTGGAACTGACAAATAATTCACCATGGTATCAATTGGAATCACAGAATCAACTTATTAAAACATGTTAGAAAATTGGTCCAAATATGTATACAAGAAATTCAAAATATATATTGGTCTACAAAACTCTTTACTTCACTATTTCTCATATACCCATTTCTCCCCAGAGGCAAAAGTCTAGCACATGACATTACTTTTCTTCTGAGACAACATGGCTTTATCTTTTCTACACCATATATTACTACCCTCAAGAAAATAGATACTACCATTGAGAAAACAATGGATAGCAAGTGGTTTTCCAAACACAGAACATAACTTCAAAAAAATCAAATTTATTTCTAGGCCAATGCCTTAACACAAATAATACACACTTACTCCCATGGGTAGAAATTATCAATCCAACCAAAAAACCAAACAAAAAAACTCCTACATAATTTTGGGAACTCAAAACAAAACTTCTAACCAATCCAAAAACATCATGACAGATTTTACAAACAATATCAGAAAATGTCTTCCATAGATATATCCAAACAATTCTATAACAAAAATCAAAAATAAAATAGATAGCAACAGAACACAACAATCAAATAATAATAGGCAAAAAGAAAAACTCATCACATACTGACAAAATTATTATTAAACACTACAAAAAAATCTTCAATAATTCTCCACTCGAAGCATACAAAGGCTATACAATTGATGAAAACAGCTTTCCAAATCAGTGCACAATTACTTGCCATACCAATCAAACAATCATTATTCCTGTTTACAAAAGCCAAAAAAGCTCATACAATTTATTTGTAATAACTGGAATGTAAAACAGAGTACATATATCACCCACAAGTATTCAAGCTTACTTCAATTTCAATAATACAACCTGGTCTACAACACCACAACAAACTCAATTCACAATTAACATACACCTTACAATTCAATATTAAATACATATCCTGTAGTTCATTATATTAATACCTGAAACAATTTTACAACTCATCCTTATATGCAATCAAATATACTCCAAACATCAAATCCAAATATATACAGATGGCTCCTTAATCAATCAACAAATAAGAATCAGCTGAACAATATGCAACACACCAAACAACATAGATTTTCAAGTAAAAAACAACTATTACCCATCATCAACCAGAGCAGAACTGGTATAAATACTCAAGCACTCACTAAAGTACTGCCCCAAGCACAGTTAACAATCTTTACAGATAGTCAAGCAGCAATAGATAGTATTAAATTAATTATACATGATAAAATCAAAGCCATCAAAAAACTTAAAAATAATCCAACTATCTCTTCAAAAAATCAAAGTACACACTGGATTGGAACACAATGAAACAGCGGACAAACTTGCAAAGGAGGCCATTACATTTAAAAACATATTCCTAGTTAGTGTTACCAATCAAAACACAAAAAATAATTCTATACATCTTGTCAATTGGCATACATTTCAACTGGAAATTCCTATTAAAACAGGAATCAAGTAATATCTACTTGTTGTAAGGGTCTGTCGAAGTCCTCTCTAATAATTAGTTTTGTTAAGGCTGAGGCGTAATAATTTGGTCTGAGTATCCTTCTCTTTCTCTAAAAAATAAACTCAATTTTATTCGTTAGTATGCACATTCGTCTATTCAAACTATACCTAAGTTCCTGTTGTAGCAATGGGCATTCACACTTCCAACTACTTTGAAACTCTTCCAAATTCTTTTATGGTCACAGTTTCACCTTCAAATATCACACATTTGCATAGTAGTTTATTTGAACAATTAGATGTTTAGCAATTAGATTTTTAAACAAATAGATGTTAAGTTTATTCAAACATTTTTTCTTGCTTTATATACATGCTAGTTACAAAAAATTATATCAGATATATCAAATATATCAACTATCTAAACTATTACTGTTATATCTAATTTCTTAACTATATTAAATATCTTAAATATTTGAAATAAATCAAAGAAATCAAAGAAAAGAAATATATTACAGATATCTCATTTTTCTCAGATTCATTATTTTTGGGATCGTTATTGCATACATTCATGGGACCATGCAATTTTCCTTTCACATTGTCAAATATATTTTTCAATGGAGATTGTTGAACTATAACAGGATAAATATCAGCCCATGCACCTATATCAAATTCAATTGAAAATACTCTATCAACAATATTCACCTCTCAAAAATTACAAATAATTTAACAGACTTCAAAGATCACAACATTCACAAATTTCAAAGCAAACTTTGGAATTTGGAACTTCTTATATTAACTAAACTACATTAGAGAAACAAGGACACATATCCAAATAAAACATATATATTCTGCAAATAGGAAAAGGAATCAACAATATATCTATTCATTTGTAGACAACAAAAATATGACACTCAACAACAAATAATAAAAATCTTAAATGAGGAAATTAGTTTACACAGTATCAAAAAAACAAAACATCAACTTTTTGCAGAACTTCAAACACATATTAATTTCTGAAACACTGAAACTCTTAATCTTAATATCAGAGGAGTAATTACATATACAACAGTTACAATCATATAAAAATGTATTGACAACAAGAACATCCAACAATTCATCACAAGTTATTACAACAGATTACAAGAATATCTATTAACAGTATGGATAACAAGATGTAACAAATTCTTTCAATGGGAAAAATTACAAAAAATAACAAAAAGAATCTTGAACATCAATTAAGAAATCCAAAGCAGAAATCTTTATTGATCAAGAGATAAAGGACAGATATCCATATATAATTAACAAATACATGATTAATTATATTAAATACTTATTTGATATAAAAGAAATTTTTACAACTAGTTTTTATTCAAAGGGTATTGATAATACCTTGGCAGGTTAGCCATATTAAGGAGATTCTAATATTTTGTCTTACAAGATAGGCAACAAGCCACATGGTGGAGCAATCCTAATGAGTTTACTTTATAGTTTAAGAAAGTTACTGGCTTCTTATAATTTTTTTGCATGTATATACAATTGTATTTCAAATAATTATTTTAATAAAATTAAACAAGGCAAATGCCTATCCAATAAAAAAAAAATTGTAACATTTGGATAATATTGTAAATATTACTGATAGCTGAGGTAAATAGAAGTTTGCATTTTTTCTGATAGTTGATTAATAATGGTAATAAAAGTTTATTAGAGATTTTAGGATGTTTGCAAAAGAAAGTTATATGTTTTGTATTATTGGTAAGAAGAATAAGAATTAAAGAGTAGAGAAGAGGTGGGTAAGGGAAGAGAGCAAAGCTTAATTACACTTTTCATGTGTCACACATCTCTTTTCGTCTTCTGACTGCGCTGCGTCTAAGACTACTTCGATTTGATGAGGGTGATAACGATACGGAAATTAATATTCGCGAAGGTCACTTGTCACTTTCCCAATATTCCCAATCCCTGATCAAAAAATGGAAATCCACGCTAATTGGACAACAAGAAATAATAAGTAATGAGAATGAGGTTGAGGTTTATAAATGGATAAATGATATCTGCATTGTGAAATTAAATGAATGTAGGAATAAATTGGAAGAGATGGTATGCAATTTTCTGCTTGTTCGTTTTGATCCTTAATGTTGATGACAGTAAACATGAATATACCTTTTTTTTCGAAAACATTTAGAAATCACAAAATTCATTAGACAACATAAAACTTCTTTGGAATGATTCTATTAATATTTTGAATTCTGTGATCGAATATATTAAAAATTTAGATCAGCAAGATGTCTAATTCTGTAATGCCGTAGATAGTAGATTAAATAATAACGCGAAATACGTATTATTTGTTTATAATGAAGTCGAATGTATAAGATTGAATGAAAAGATAATTTGTCAGAGTCGAATTAGTCTGGTTGTGGTTCTTTCAACGCAGAAACTTTGTCTTAAATCATTCGACTCACAGTAGCCAATCGGTTTATTCCACATGAGACTGTAACGAATGGCTGTGTTGTGTTTTGCGCAGCTTCGCTATATAGGAAACAAAACGGACTATGGCATTTGATGTGAGAGTTTCTTTTTAAAATATTTGTCTTTTATATAATAAATATGGGCGAGGAGAAATGGGCTATCTTGTTTGATCGTGATTGCAAGTTTTACTTTTGATCGATTAGTTGACCATCCTGCAATACGGTACACATTGTTTACTGTACTTTTTTTTTTTTTTTATAAAAAAACAAACAGATATTCGAGCCGAAGACTACAAAAGAAATCTCCAAACCTTGAACGAATACAACTTATTCCTTGAAGAATTGCCATCGCTAATAAGAATAGGATCCCAAAATGGACTTTTGCAATGTTCTAGGTGTCAAAGGATATCACAATCGTCACAGGAGTATGATGATTTGAGATGTCATGAGACAAAGTATTTTCATGAAATAGAAAGAGTCACCTCGGTGGTAAATTTACGAGACACGAGAGTGGACGTTGAGATGTTGGAAAATTGTTCATTCTGTGCGTATAATTTCCACTCACAAATACCCTAAGAAAATTCATGATTACAAATTTCTCTTCTTTTTTTTTTTTTTGCTGAAAGAGTTGGTACAGATTTTGAGTTGTTCCACGAGTCCATCACCAAATTCTTTGAACACTACGAGATTTATGTCTGTCAACGCTGTGATAAACTATCCAACAAACCTGAACATTCGGGTCACCCTTATCTCACCTCCTTTAACCACCTCTTGTTTCCCATACACAAGAATCCATTGATACATAAGAACTCACGTCTTATCACAAACCTAGCTCAACTAAAAGGAATTGAATTTGACTTGTTGGAATTCTTTGATATCTTTGATATCTTAAAGGATTGCGTGGATTCTATGCGGCCAGCTATGATCTCCGGAAAATGGAATGTTGGCAACCAGGAAATTTCTCTGGGAAGACGTAATTTTTATAACGGAAATTTTGGAACTTCCGAATGGGAACAATACATTAAGATCGATGGTATTTTATATGATCGATTCTTCACTACTATTACCCGCATATTATTAATTGTTTGAAAATTACTTATATGCTATGTGACATTTAGAATTCCACAGAAGCAACGAGTCGCTCGAAATCTACACTCAATTTTTGCACAACCTACCAAGCGCCTTCATTATTTATCCTTATTCAAATGCATAAATTGCAATGTTATTTTCTTGAACGCCAAGAAACTCTTGATTGGTTCCTGCAATCAAACGAATTTGTGGATTGACAAACGTAACTATCTCCCAATAATGCCTCATATACCGAAAAAGATTGATAAGATGGATGTTTTCATGAATTCAAAAGTTAGTTTGAACTGCTTAGGCGATACTTTTGCTGAGAGGTATAACATGTAGGTAACGTTGATTCATATTTAGTGGATTCATGATCAGGATTTAATTCTTCTGTCTGCATATACTCTACGTGAATGCAGAAAATCGATTCATCTGAACAGGTTTCTACATAGAGTTCTTGGTTTCTCGTATTTCGTTAAACATTGTGAGATATTCGTATGCATCCGATGCGGTTCGTTCTCGGCATTAGTGCAGGGCGGGAGCTTGTGCAGAAAACCATATCACGAACATGTTTTTCGACGTATCATCGATGTTTATCAATTTTATGATGAGTTAATCAATTTGTTCGAGTTTCACTACGTTATAAAGTCGGCATTAGACATCGCCTACCCGGACAAACCAGTTTATAGAAAGGCAAATGGAGTGAATTAGATGTGGAAGAGTTTTTTTTGCAACAATTTTTTTTTATAAAAATCACATTTTATTAGAACCGATAGATTATAAAGAATAGAAAAGGACAACCGACCCTTTCCTTTCAAAAAATTGTAGATAGCTATAGATATGAAACAGATATGAAATCACCAAAGATCTAGTGTTATCAATCTTGGGATATGCAATTTATAATTTTTATCGTGTGATAAATACTTCTTTTTATCTGACAGTTGAACAAAATGCTTCGCTATTTTTATTTATCCAAACATCATTATAACTCAACCCAGCAAAAAAAGATACGTGCAGTAGTTAAATTTACAAATATACGCACTAAATACAATATATTTCGAAAAAAAAAAAAGTTTTCTAGAGTGCAAATTCCAGTTATTCTATAAATCTCGTTTAATTAATATTATTCGAACTGTTCCTTCATATCAATAAGCTGTTCATATAGATCGTCAATTTTTGGACGTTCATCGGGATCTTGATGCCAGGCAACCTCGACTAATCTCTTATACGCTTCAGGTGTATCCTTTGAAAATGGGCCGGGACGTTCTCCATTTTGGATTTTATCACGCACCACCCAATTATCTGTGACCTCGGCAAAGGGTAATTTGTGTGTTGAAATTTCCCAAAGGGTGGTGGCAAAACTGAACACAAAAATTTTTTAATGTATTTCAAGCATCGCAAAATACACTTTTTATTTCTTACCTATATACTTCGCATTTATCGTTGTATTTTTCTTCATATTTCAATTTTTCTGGCGCAGTCCACCTAAATATTTTCGGTAAATTAGAATACCTCAATTTATTGCAAAAAAAAATAATAATAATAAATTACCCAACCTATATGTTTCAAATATAAGTCCGTGTGAAACTTTATCAAAGATCTTTCGACTTCTATGAAAATTGGTCAGCTTGGCATATAAAATGCCATCTTTTTTATTGATCAATACGTTTTTACTAAGATTAAGGAGATTTTATTATTGTTATAAATAAAATCAATGCAAAGAAAAACGATCAAGTGTATAAATAAATACCTTCTAACATCTCGATGAAATACTTTTTTGTCGTTGCAATAAGCGAGACCTTTTGCAATTTGTTCTGCAATCTGAAGCTTAGTTATCCATGGAATTTTTTTATTATTATCTAAATACTCGCAAAGATTCCCATCTTCCATCCATTCGGTAACTAGAAAGAGACAATCTTCTCTATTCACATTTTCAAAATAAAGTCCGATTCTATGATATACGTAATTAGCTCAGTAACGACCAATAATAAAAAAGAATAACATAATAAATTGAGAAATAAAGTGTAAAATATTTACAATCTTTCGAAAGGTCCCCATGAACTAAGCAATTTGACAATTTTTACTTCTTTCTGAACTTTTTCAACGTTTTCCGGTGAAACGTTACCCCAATTTTTCACCGCCACGTAGTCTCTTTTATACATTCGTTTTTGTATCTTGCCACGATTAATTGGATGACCACAATCTTTAAATTTACGCGGATCGATTCGCAATTCTTCGATTTCCTCATTTGTTAAATTGGCTCCTTTCTCTAATAGTGTGAGTTGAACTAGCGCTCTAACATTTTCACTGACTTCTGTTAATTTTACATTATTGTCAAGTATCACAGAATTATAAAATCTGTTGGTGGCGAGATCCAGTTTTCTGATGATTTTATCATACGCTTCAAAAGTCTTGAATAGAAAGTTAAATTAATTAATCAATTTAAAAATATGGTCATAATAAACAATTCTCATGATATTTACATTTTTTGCGTCGATGACTTTCATTATTTTTTTAATAATACTCTTGCTATTAACATCACTTGTTTTGTTTATTTCGTTAACATATAAAAGTATTTCCTTAAGTGCATCTTTGTAAACTATTTGTTGTTGACTGATATCACCCCTTGGAGCATGGTCGGTGATATCTTTTAAGCTGACTTCTAAACGTGCGCAGATGTCTTTGAACACCTCTTTATTATGCTCTGCTTGTTCCGAAAGGTCGATAATTCGTTGGGCAAGGTCGGCTGCGGTATCTCCGATAAACGGCGTAGCTCTAAGTACTAAGGGAATAGCATTCTCGCTAACAACTTTGATAACGTTCGGTAGACTGCCAGGTAATTGTCTGCTTTTCATTTTATTGCGGTTGAAAGACGGATTTCTCCATACACGTATTTTATTCAATCGATTTAAATGTACGCGAACGCTGTACCTCAATCCTATGCATTCAACGTAGTACGTACGCCACAATAGACAGAATTAGTTCTATTTTTTTTTAATAAGACCTTTTTGTCTATTCATCTGTCCCCCACTGCATGATTTGCATTATTCCTTTACCTGGCTAAAATCATCAACTGGAAACAAAGATTGTTCTATCATATATTGTACGTCGTGCTGCAAAAAAGGTTTTTAAAGTTGATATTATTTATTACAAATTAACAAAGAATTTTAGAATTTTTCAAATTATATACGTGAAACTTTATAAATTATTGATATCATATATGTTAATATTACTTAAAATCTTTTTCACGTAACTTTTTGCATGTCAAGAGAAAAAAATCCATAAAATTTTCTTTATCCGGTGATTTCAAGTAAAATTTTTTTTAATACCGTATAAGAGAAAGAGAAAAAATTGTTTTAAAAAATACTTCAATCAAAAAATAATAAATAAAAGATATATACTGTATTTTATATGATTTAAATTATTAATTAATAAAAAAGTGTTATCTGTTTATTATTGATTTTTTTGGAATTTTTTATTTGTTCAAAAATACAGTACATGTTTACTTTTTTTTTCATATGTTCTACAAGTCATAAACTCAAAAAGTTCAACGATTTTAAAAATTTTGCTTATTTTTGAATATACGATATACAGTATACGGTATATCAAAAATATTATTCTTATATTAGATATAAAATAAAATAATTTATAATTATAAAGTTATAAGTTAACTTAATTATAATGAATTTCGGATTCAAAAATAAGAAATAATTAATAATAAGCATCACAAATATTAAAAATCAATAAAAAAATCAATAACGTTAATATCTTGTTACAATTAAATATAATAGATTAATTATTTTTGTTTAACTTATTTATACTGTATATAAATTTGGCAAAATTATTATAAAAAAATACAAATTGATTATATTAACTTTAAAGAGATTTATATAATATCTTTTGACTTAATAATGGTAAGGATTTATTTAAAATAATAATCTATTAATTAAATTTTTAATTAATTATCTGTTAGTTCTTTTTCTTACTTTTATTATATATATATTATTTTTTTATACTTTTTAATATTATTTTTTCTAATAAACCTGTGGATCCATGGCACAGTAGTTAGTGCTCCACAGATCAGATCACAAGATACCGGTTCAACCCCATGTGGAAATGGTTAAATAGAATTAATATAGTATTTGGCACTATAACCAATTATGTGCTGTTTCTCATGAGAAGCCATTTCACATGCCAATCCGGCAGGCATTGAGATTGTGATCTCCCTGTTAAAGGCATAGTGGTGTGACGATCATCCGGATGGTGTTATGATGTTCGTCTACGAAAGGAGCCATAGAATCACTTATACATTTAGATATACAGACTGGGCTGTATTTCATCTTATCCAATCCCAAGCTGCCAATCTCCTTATTGCCAACTGTCGAATAAGGAAGCTTTGAAGAAAGCACTGAACTGACACTAACGTCTTGTGCGACATGGCCTATCCAACGGCTTACCATGTATATAGGAGTTGCGTCCTGCTTGGCATTTATGCCCCTAGATTTGGCAGCCTACGCCAACCGGTTCCAAACTGAAGTGTCTACTAGGAGATAAAGGACTTTGGAAGCTTGTTAAGTTATGGCCTGTATAGTCCTTAGGAGTTACGCCCCACTTGGCCACAAGAGCCCCTAGATTTGGCAGCCAGTGCCAACCAGCAAATCAAAACTGGAGCATTCACTAGGGAGTGCATATCCACGTTAAGCCCCTCTGCTATATTAGCTGCATGAGCGAAAAGGTGTAATCTGATAAGTAACCTTAGGAAATAGTTAGCAGCACTTACTGCCCTCTCAAAAAAAATTAAACCGGTAGGATTTCCACCCCCTAGATAGGTCCCCCCCAAAAATATGAATCCACTTCATGAGTGTTACTAGTATCGCTGGGGCAACAAGTAGATAGGCTAGCATTTAGTTGTTGTAAGCAATAGAGGATGTTTGATGTAATTCAATTGATAAAATAAGTCAATAAAAAGTTTCGTATCTAATACCGTTCTATTATAAAAAAAAAATATTATTTTTCTAATATTCAATATATTATATTATTTATATTTATTATATTTAATAATTTTTTTCTTATTTAATTTAATTTATATTTATAATTGCTTATTTTTAACTATATAATTCATTAATTTTAAAATTTTTTTATAATAAATTATATGATAAAAATAATAAAATTGTACTTTGAAAAATCATTTTTTTGAATTAAGAAAATTTAAAAT